TCGTTAAGTCACCGAACTCTACTGAGGCTCACCGAGATCCGCGTCGCATAGCCACTTGATTCAGAGTAAGCGAATGCGTAATCTAAAGGCTGTTCGACTGTTCGACTCACGAGGAAAGTACTTTTGATCGTCTGGCCGTTTGATATGAGATGCGTATCGGCTAGAGCATATTTGAGCGCTAACTTCAATTCTTCATTCCGTTTCTGCGAAATGCTCTTCTGAAAGAAGTTATGGAAGCCCGAAAATTCCGTTTGCAGGCACTTAGGCGCTCTAAGTTAAAGGACGCTGCTTTCAGGTTAGTGGTACAGTGGTACAGTGGTACAGTGATTAGCATGCTGCCATTAGAGGCGAGGCGTCGATGGTTCTAATCCGGTGAGAAGCTCTTATCCAAAAAATTCTTTCTTCTAGGTCAGATATGCCAAAAATACACACACTATGCGAGAGGGATTGTCCATAGGATTCGAACCATTGAACTCTCGCCCCTAACGCGAGCACGCTGACTGCTACACTAAAACAGCACAATAGTACAGTAACAGTACATACATAGTAGCGTCGAATTTAAAGGCAGTGTCTCATCAAAATTTGGGTCTTGGGATTTTGCGATTTATAAGTCTTCAAGACCCTGTGTAACGCTATGCGAGCTCAAACTCTCTCAAAAATTCCAAAAATCTCTTTCGGAGCTTCCTAGGAGAAACGCGTAAGCTGTATTGCTATACCTTAGCTTCGGCGCCAGGGTCAGACACTTCAAGAAGGATAGTGTGGCCTCTAAAGACGAGCTGAAACGCGGTAGGGAAACGGACAAGTCGTCCAGCGCTCCGAAATGCGCTACGCGAGCCACTTATCCAGACCTTCTCACTGTACGAGGGACCTTATTAAGTAGGGGCTTGGTAATTTTTCTAGTAAGAGGTTCCCCCAACAAACTGCATAGAAATCTGGTACAATCCAAGTCTTCTGAGACACTGCCTCTAAGGAGCTCCAGCAACGGAGTTTTCAGGCTCCATGACAATTTTCAGAAGGGCGTTCCGCAAAAAAATCTACGAACCTGAGCGCCTGCACACAACCGCTCAAGCTTCTTAACTTGGCGTTGTTTGCCGCTAGACTTTGTGTTACTGATACTTTTCATCGGGAAAAAGTGCCGAAATCTGAATGACTTATACTTCTTCTGTTAAGATTTTTATCTTTTATCTTTAAATTCTGATCTGTGCATTGATTGTTACGCACTAACACGTATCATGGCGCAAATTTGAGAGTACTCGAAACAATAAATCAGTAAAGATTGCAAAAATGCGCGAAGGATAAGATCTGTATAAGAAACGGTCACGGTTGAGTGGGAAGAGTAGCGAAGGTCGTGGATAAGATTTGTGGCGAAAGAAAAGTGACCAGAAGAGTTTCCGGTCGACTGAAAAGTACTGCTATTGCGTTGTAAAAACCTAAAGTTCGCCGAAAGACGAAGTAGAAAAACTGACAGTACTTTGAACGGGGAGTGGTATATAAGGATGACAATAAAGTCGAGTCAGTTCTCATTGAAGTTTGTTTCCATGAATCCTCATTTCACGCTCTCAGGTTTTAGGGAAGATCATAAATTTTTTCCACCCTCTTAACTTATGACTGCTTTACTTCATTTTGCACATTTCTCACTGCAGTCTAGTTGCGACTTCTCGAAAAATTTTTTTAGGCTTAGTGGACCTCGTTTCTCGCTCCGAGCTTCTGTCATCGCTCAGGTAGGGGCTTTACTATGAAATTTCTAAACAAGGACGGCATCCCTCAACTGAAGGCTGCCTTTTAGATGCTTGTTAGGAGTTTCTGTGCAACTTTTTTGAAATTCATCTGAGTCAAAGTCAGCCAAGGCTCATAAGGACATGAAAAAATCATGTGCCTAAGGACCTAGAGTAGTGTGGGGAATAAAAATTTTGGATCATAATTGCACAAACTATTAGTAATTTACAACAGTTTGATGCAGAGCTGCCTGCAATCATGATAACAGAACTGGCTGAGGTGTGAGTATAGCGACATTTCGCGAGCATGCACTGGAAAGAAGGCTATTAGAACCAATGAGCCGTAAATTTGTGTAACTCCTATTGTAGCAACCAGTATTTTTGTGTGATTTACTAATACAAAATAGTGAAAATTGCTGGAACTCCCATTGACGGGCGGTATATATGTGAGACCATGATTGTACTGTACTATATGGGTCGCCATTGCAGTTTATTACCTTTTATGTTTCGTTCGCGTAGGTATCTTTCTTTAGCTGTGCTCGTGACATTGTCTTCTCCTTGGCCCCTTTCATAAAAGAGTCATTAACCAATCCTATTGAGATTTCATACAAATTTTCATGAGTAAATAGTTGTTAGGGAATTAGTGTCGGCACACTTTTGGAATAATAACTGAAATCACTAATAGTAGCCGAGATAGGTTCAGAGTTAGGATTCCCACTAGTACTTATACTGGTCTAGGTCGAACCTTACACTAGTTAATGAGCGGTGGAACGCGGCGGCTTGCAATAAGTGAGTAGAATGTTTTTAGAAAAAAATGCGAGGCAAGGTGTTTGCAAATTTAGGATAATCCAGACAGGTTATGACGTCTCAGGTTAGAAGAGTAAGTCACGCACTTTCTGACAACATTTTCCCCACTTTCACTAAGCCAGGAATAATATGTAATTAGTAAAAGGAAGCAATTGGGTTCGTGATGTTGAGCAGACCCGTAAAAAATTCAAGAACTACGCAAGAGAAAACAGTTGGCAACATTCCGAGAACTTCTTTCCGACTGAGCAAAGCGTGCGACCATGCTCTTTCTTGTTTTAAATTTCGAGAAATAGCAAAAAACCGGAAGATTTTTTAGCGTTTATCTCGAAAATCATAATTGTTCATAGAAAAACCCGATCAGCACAAACTCTGCTCAGTCAGAAAGAGGAAATCGAAAATTCATGACAGTGATTGTTCTTTCACTGCACAGTTTTTAAATTTTCAACGGGCCTGCTCAAAATCACTGAACCTTTTGTGCCTTTTTCCATTCTTATCTGTGTAATCAAAGTCTTGTGGATAGTAAGCAAGGTTTCCTTAATAAGTGCATGGGACTCTTTTCAATAGAATTAATGTCATGCAAAACATTTGCGATAGTAATAAGCTGCATGTTTTGGAAATGGCGCGAGAATTCTCCGGGTGAGTGACTTTTCATACGATGAGCAATTCCGAGGTGCGAGGTGGGAACACCCACGGCTAAGTGTGAAGTCTCGCACCTGCCTGTCTAGTATACTGTAGAAGGGGGGGGGGGGGGAGGGGGACTTTTCATACGAATGCCCCCACATCATCTTTTGGCAAAGATCGAGTAAAAAGTGGCACCATGCCAGGTTTGGGCCTGCGGACTCCATTCCAAAAAACAAAACATCTAGATTAGCTTTTGCAGTACCGCAAATTTGGATAAAATGAAAACTTGAATGCTGTGTGAATTCAAGAAGTGTTTTGCTGTGAAAAATAACATCATGATCGTTCTACACGAATTTTTTAGTATTTAGGTCGGCATAATTCGGTTTTTCTTTTACAAACGTTTTGAACTGATTTTAGTATTGTCACATGCCTCTCCGAGCCTTCAGCATGACCTGGAAGTGCTACTCTTCCCATAGGGGTTATTGGAGCGGGACACGGTCAAGGGGCGCGTTCCTGGGTGTCATCAACTTAAAACTCCAGTTTCATGCTATGGGAGAATTCAAAAAGTGCCGGACATAGTTTATTGGCTCATTAGATGTTTGAAGTAACGTTTGAAGTAAGCTTTATACGACAGATAAAATCAAGATATTCTCTACTTTACGCATTTTTGATAATAAACGTTTCATTCTAGTCCATTGTAATCGATAACTGGTCGTATTACCAGCACTCTAGCATACCGCTAGAAGGTCAAAGTGATCGGGGAGCGTTCGTATGAAAAGTCCCCCTCCCCCCCCCCCTCACCTAGGCGTAGTGGAGAATCTTACTGATTACGTGGATGGAGAGGTGCGATGTAGGTGTGAGGTAGGTGCGAAGTCCCTGATCGTATGAAAAGTCCCCCCCCCCCCCAATTCTCCACTGATACTAATAGTTCCATTTGAAACTAGTTAGTTTCACTCTATGTGGGTATTTGCACTAGCATATTCGCTAAAACTTGAAGGCGTGCAACATTTAGAGTGCCTAAACCCCTGTAACCAGTGGCGTACCGAGGGCCCCCCCCCCCCCTAGAATGGGTCGCGATTTGAAAGTTACTCAAATGTGTTATAAAAATGTGCAAAGGACTTGTCTTTACTTGTAAATAATTAAATTAATTTTTGAAAATATTCAAAAATACAAATTAGCCTTGTAAAAAATTTTTTCGGGGGCGCCGATATCCTGGGTACGCCACTGCCTGTAACTATTGTAACCTATTTGCCTCAGGTATTTTAGGAAATAACTGTCACCAAAATTGCTGGCATTGATATTTGTTTCATCATTATGAGAGCGTGGTCCTCTATACGCCTTACATTAATTTTCTGCCAAGCACGAACAAAATTAGAAGATAATTGGCTTGCCCTTTTTTCCACTGCAATGGCATCCATAATTCTGCTGTAATCGTTGACGATCCAGTAATAATAGGAAGAAGACAAAGGAATGTAAACGAGATTTTTTTTAGCAAGCGAAGATGCGGAAGGGGGGGGGGGGGGGGAGAGAGAATAGATTTATACCTATACCGTAGCTCACTCAAATCCTCATCCATACAACATTCGGGAACTTACCACTTTCCAGAAAATTTTATTAATAGTACTCTTGAGGGTCCTTTTTGCGTTGCTACAGATGACAAAAGCCACGTCTGGCCACTATTTCAACCGACAGTCGGACAATTATGAAATTCAGATGAAAGAGTAACTCAAACAAATTCGCGAGACTCCAGACTATCCGCAGATTTTTGTCCCGAATTGCTTTACAATTTTTTACAATGGAGAATTCAGATTTATTCTCACACTTCAATATTGATGACGGAAAATTGATATTTGTAATCTTCACATAAAAATAAATGTACTAATCATACTAATGCTTCTAAATAATTCTCTTATAAGACAGCGGAGATCGAATTCTTAAGTCAGAACCGTCATCGTCAGCACAGCGACCATAATTGGAAGCAACATGACATGAATTCTCGATATAAGGATTTGCAACAATTCATTTCTTTTTCTGTAAAAACATGTGATTGGATAGAAATACTAGAAGAAAGAGTTTCTTACCTTCTTCCTTTGGCTTTTCAAGTTTGGATCGATTTTTTGCGTCAAAGTCCTGAGCTTTGGGTTGTGTGGTTATTGGATGCACCTGACCAGCCGCTGGCTTAGGCTTTGAGGCGGGAATCTTGAATTTTCAAATCTTCACTTTTTTGCGCATTAGGTGCGCCACGATATGAAAAAATATCAAAAAGTTGGGGAAAAGCAAGAAACTACATAATGCTCACATTGCCATCCGAATTGGTTCTTTTGTGAACCCTTGGTACCGCTAAACTGGTTTGCGAATATGATCCAGGAGTGTCTGAAAATAAAATCTTTTATGAAATTACTATTCATTTACTTATACTCTTGCGGAAAATTGCACGTTAGAGAGAATATAGAAAAAATGAAAAAAACAGTACATTTCAGGACGCAAAATAATAATCAAATGAAAATTTTGAGTACGAATTGTAAAAGATTACCTTTCCTTATAGGCAACTGCAATTGCACAACGCCTTCTTCTTCGAGTTTGTTAAAAATCGCTAGACTTGTTCCAATCGCTCCGCTATCAAAATGCTTTACTGACACTACATCAGTATCTGAAATAATGATATATTCTCCGCAAATGCACATGAATCGCGTTGCGCGCTGCATACATTGCGCAAATAAATCTGTCTACTGGCATTTGATGAGCAAATTAGTGGAATGGGAGCTTGGTGTTGATTAATGGTGCATACGTTTTTGTTTGTTGAAAATTCTTAAGGGGGGGGGGGAATGTGCAAAGTCAAAAACAGAAAATCCAAAAATGAGCGTGGTAGGGGCGGGACCAACCATCTTTCACAATCATCCCCATTCTTTGGATAAAAGCGACTCCTATGAGATTGTATGTAATGAGGTTATATGAAAACACTTCAAAAACAAATGTTTTGTAAATGGCATGTAAGCCGCGTCACATACGCGCCGCGTGAGTTGACTAAATTTGATCACTTAGAAAGGTAGTCGCTGTTGCCTGTGTCACAGCTATATAAGCACTTTTGGTTGTTGAACGCTTTGGAAATGGTGTGTGAAAAAAGCCAAGCTCAAATCAAAGCCTGGTAACTGGGTGTGGCAAGGGGCGAACTAGTCAACTTTGGCAATGACCTTTTTTGATTTGTAACCCTTGTAGCTCTTAGAGTGATTGCTTCTAGATGTAAGGGATCAAAAAGAACGCTCGAACAGTAATTCTAAAGAAAAGGGCGCGGCTGGGGGCAACTCAGATAATACGACCCGACAAAATGGGCATGGCATTCTGGTCTTGTTTTTTGGCGCAAGAAGTGCAGCAAATAAGTGTCAGCTCCTAAATGTAAGAATTAAACATGACAAGCCAATAGAATTCAAAAAAGGGCATGGCGGGGCGACTCAAAAATGCGATCGAGGAACGACAAAAAATGGGCTTGGCAAGGTGCGAAGCCAGTAGATTTTGACAAGCAATCTCTATCTGATTCGCAAGTCAAAGCAATATTCAAAGTTTTTCTAGTTTTCGAATTCAAATACAATGCTCAAATGAAAAATCAAAAACTGGGCTTGGCAAGGGGAGGAGCCGCAACTTCGATAATGTCTCCCTCCTCGATCCATGTTAAAGAATTTTGTTTGAGCCTTCGCATGTAAAGCGTTAATTGCCCTGAGGCAATAAATACCAACCTTTGGCGCAACACTCGCATGAATTTTTATTACTCATTAGTACGTAGATGTCGTCATCTTCTATATCGATCGTAAACTGGTGATTAATCGATAGACCATTTGCGAATAGCCTGAATAACCGCGATTTTGCACTTTTGTGAGCTGAACTCACGATGAGTCACATTGCAACGAAAAAGCTCGTTACCATTTTATGCAAATCTCTTGCCGCTCATCTCTTCGCAAGTCTTCGATTTTTCGACCAGGCATAGCGACCGCAATCACAGCTGCCAGCTCGCGATCGCTCATTTGGAGCACTCGACGCGTTACTCGCGTCATGTCTGAAATTGCGACTTATTTGACAAGAAAAAGCGAACCAAGGAAAGAGTACGGTAGTTGAAGAATGTCCGACTGAATTATATAATTGTGCTCAGTGCTTATGGGAAGGCAAGATTGCAAGCAATGCTCTTTTCTGTTTGAAAACCAACTAAGCTGAAAAATACATGAACGTCAGTCAATGACTTTTCCAGAAAAATTTCAGAATGTAGCGCTTAGTACAAGAATATTATCCATACATGAGCATAAATCGCAAATTTTTCCCTTTGGGGAAAATAAAAATGGAGGGAAGACGAGACTACGATGGAGAAATAATTAGAAATTTGTATAAAGACAGACGAATGCGAATAGATGCCATTCCTTCAGAAATTCGAGCTTATCTCCTTGAAATTAGGTCGGAAATGTAGCCAGAAATGTGATCTTGTAGATGAAGTTTCCGAATTCTAATAGGATTTTCTGACCTTGAAAGAGTCGCTTTAATAACTCTACAACTCATTTGACCACTTTCAGAGTTTTGGCTTCTAAATTTGCTTCAAATGTAAGGAAAGCTATCGATATAAACTTTGAAAAGAAAATTTTCGAAAGGTTCCTAGGACTGCTTGTGACCTTCGTCTTTAACCTTTCGCCTCTCTGAAGAATTTTTAGAGAAAAAAAGTCACAATACTAGAACAGTTTGCCCACTGCAGAAAGCTCTCGACCTAATACACGAAGCTATTTTCAAAACAGATTTTCTTGTTTTTTTTTACTGTCAGAAAATTGATAATATGTTAAATTATAAGTGATGATATCTTTATCGAAAGCTGTAAAGTCGTTTACAAGACAGGGTGTAACGCTTAGCGTGTTGAGGATCATGGTTCGTTTTAATGATAATAAATTTTCTCAAACTGCCCTTTTCTCGTGGCTCTTTGAGAAGTCAAGAAGTGATTTAGTCGTTAGCTAGTGGGAGGTGTTTCCAGCAAAGATATCAACAAACTACTACTTTGCTTGCAGTTAATCGACAATAAAACTCTCAGTCTATTTCTCCTCTGTTTTAGTCCTTTTCCATTCCTTTGGACACACTTTATAAGTGAATAGGGAAAATACATGCCTTATTCCTTTTTGTTTTAGCCAAAGGTATCATGAAGTAATATTTTACTTTACCGAAGTCGATAATCTCTCTATATCAAAGTTTTGGTATTATTAGGTTGTCCCAAAAGTAAACCGTATTCTTGCATAAATCAAATTGTTCTTGTTTTTCTGGCAGACGTGGGGCAACATCAGGGCCCGGCACAAGTCAGTTTCTAGGGTTTCTGAAAACGAAGTCTCCCCCGACTTTCGGAAGTTTTACGAAGTCCCCTTTGACCTACTTGCTCAAAAGGAGAAAATGAAAACAAGAAAGATTTACTAGTCTGAAAGAAAAGACGTAAGATAAGAGTGAAAATCCAAATTGGAGCTGAATACTACGCATACACAAGACTTTGGCATTAGAGCGCGATATTTAACAAAGCGAGAATAAATGAAGGCAAAAAACAAAGAAAAGGCAATGATATGAAAATGTCTTCATGCTCAGGGATAGATTTTTGACCGGGGAATCCGTCCATGCTAAAAAGAGCCGAAACTTATGTGAAGTGACGAAAATATATGCTCCAGACGATCTCAGATCGTCTGGTGGCCGTCTGGAGACGATCTAATTTTGGAAAAGGTATTACTTCACATAAGTTTTCAAATCTTTTTACATAAATCTTTCGTAAATAATTTTCTATACATACAATCCAATTTTGGTGTCATATGATTCCGTGTACGCTGTAAACAAGCAATTTTTTCATTTTAGACTTGCTTTCAAATCGCGCGCACTTTTCGCCATACACGGTAGAGCATGTCAATCGTGTGATAACATGTCTGGAAAGCTTATGTTCGACTAAATGGCGCTTATTCTTGGTGCTCGGTTCCGACTCGTCATAAACGATATCCCTTTTGCTGCTTGCTTCAAAAACGAAGTCCAGCCTGCTTCTAGACGATCTGTGCCGGGCCCTGGGCAACATTCGATAGAGCGAAGCAAGCTCTAAGAATTACCACCAAAGAACCGTCTAATTGTAAGTCGCTATTCAGGTAAAATTTGGATCCAAAAATCAAAATTTCAGCTACCCTAAAAGTCGGTTCTCCTTCCAGAAAACTCCTACGGACTTCCAACTTGATCCGTATATAGTAGACACATAGTAGTATCGAAAAACTATTTTGGTTGATTTTTATCAGAGTTCAAAATTGAGAAACAAAGGGGGTCCCAAAATGCCAAAATGCCACTTTTTTCGGGTTTTTTATGTAAAAATTCGTATTTCTCGAACATAAGAGCACCTACAGGAATAGCGTTTTGAGTGTACTTAGTAAGGCTTGTAGTATACAATCACGTATGTGGGAGGGGCTGGGGGCGGAGTTTGCCATTTTTTTATTTTAATACTACTATGTGCCTACTGTATAATGACCAAGTTGGGGGTCCGTAGGGTTTTTCCTCGCGGAAATTCAATTTTCAGGTAAAAACTTTTTTTCGATTTTGGCTTGGTGGTCATTTTGCAGAGCTTGCTTCGCTCTATCGAATGGTACCTCAAGTCTGCCAGGAAAACAAAAATAGTTTGATTTATTCAAAAATATGATTTACTTTTGGGACAACCTGATATTTTGAATTGTATGCTTCCGAATTTAGCCGATCAAAGAGACCTCACCGAAAATAACTCGAAAATTAACTTGAATCTTCAAATAAGGAAAATATACAAAATATAAAACATAAATTAGAGCAAAAAGTCCGCAAAACCAGATATTAACGATGAATATGTGTAACATGCATCAAAATCGCAATGAAAACAGGATAAACTCCGATCCGCCGACGCAAACAACATACTTAGCAGAAGTGCGCTCTACTAAGCGACAAGTTGTTGAAAATGATCTCACATTGTGTTGTGTGTGTGTGTGTTTGAATAATCGATGCGAATACAATACTACCCAACGAGGTATTATCGCGGCGAATTTCAATGGGTCCCTCCTCTTTCGGGCGGAGAACATCAAATATGCATATGCGCCAAAACAACATTGCAAGGACAGCTTTGTTGGGGAGGAAAAAACTAGTTTGTGATGAGTAATAGAGCTCGGAAATGATATATGGTAACTATTATGTTGTTTGGGAAAAATCAACAAGGGTAAAATCCTGACAGTGATGGATGAGATTACGGTATTTTGACATATGATCGTTCAGTTCTGTAGCGAATTTTTCAAATTTTTCGTTTACAATTTCTGTTCTTGTTTACAATTCCAGAAGTACCATTAAGAAAAAATGAACTTGCGCTCTTTCATTCATTGGTGTATTTTTTGTGCAACACGCAAATAAGCGAATTTAGTAAGTATTTTATTATATTTATTTTATATTATTATTTTATAATTATATTTTTATTATTATTATTCTTGCGCATCATTTTCAAAAAATCATAACTTTCTTTTCACTCAATGGATTTTGTTAAAATTGCAACTATTCGAAAGAGGAATCCATGCTCTTTACAGCAGTACCTCCGCCATGAATTACTTCGAGAAACTGCGAGAGTTACAGGCAGTTGAAGGAAATCAGTCAAAGTTTGCATTTTTCGAGCTGGATCACGAAAAATTCTGAAAGTAATTTTATATGATAGAGAAAATTATGCTTATTACATTGGCACTTTTCCCATCTGTTGAAACGAAACAGATCAAGAGTTAGGAGCAAATAAAGAGAATTCTTTCAGTTTTGTAATTTTTGAGCATGCTCAAAAAAGCTCGGAAACGTCACAGAAAATACGGAAATGCCATGAATATGCGTTTTGTGACCTTCTCTTTCTAGTTGAGCGGAAATCGTGCTAATCGAGAGCAATTTTGATTTTCGTGAAAAATGCAGGCCCGAAAACCCGAAAAAATCACGAAAAACAGAATTGCTCTCGATTAGCTCGAAACTTGCTCAGCTAAAAAGAGTATGTCACAATATCCACGTTCGTGACTTTTCCAAATTTTCTATGAGGTTTCTGAGCTTTTTTAAGCATGCTCAAAAATTACAAAACTGAAGGGATTCTCTTTATTTGCTCCTAACTCTTGATCTGTTTCGTTTCTACAGGTGGGAAAAGCACGATTTTAATGAGCATAATTTTCTCTATCATATAAAAATACTTCCAGAATTTTTCGTGATCCAGCTCGAAAAATGCCAATTTTGACTGATTTCCTTCAACTGCCTGTAACTCTCAAAGTTTCTCGAAGTAATTCATGGCGGAGGTACTGCTGTAAAGAGCATGGATTCCTCTTTCGAATAGTTGCAATTTTAACAAAATCCATTGAGTGGAAAGAAAGTTATGATTTTTTGAAAACGATGCGCAAGAACTTTCGGACCAACCTAATATATTATTTTTTTTTATTTTTTATATTTACTTATTTTTCTATTTTATTTTTATTTTTTATTTCATTTTTTCTTAGTGATACTTCTGGAATTCTCCCATACTTGATAAACAAACTCGAACAGGGAAACTGTAGTAAGGAACTGAGGGAGAATCCTCCCCCTCCCCCACTTAACCTGAGAATAAATCGCGAAATTTTTGAAAGTACCCCACGTGGGTCACAAAATTTTTGACAAGATTTTGCTTGTGAGTGTAACCAAAATTTGTTTTAGATAGTTTTTTTTTCTGAATTTCAAAAGAAGCTCTGTGAAAGAATTTGAACTTGAGCAGCGCCACCCCGAAAAACTTTTCATCAAAAAAAAAAAAATTTTTTTTGTTACTCTGCTCAAAATGAATCGCTCACTCCAGCCGCACTGGATAACTAACATGATAATTTTTTTGCAAGGAATGCAATTCAGTAAGCAAAGTTACAGTAATCGGGTGCGAAAGTTTTTGCTTTTTTCTCAATAGCACACGACTACTCACAAACGTCTAATATACTAGTCTGCTCAGAATTGCATCCTGTCACACAAAAGCAAATATTGACAATTTTTGTAGGCAGTCTAAACCCAATAGGTTTGAAATGTTCGAGTCTGACCGTTTTTTCCTATTCATCAACTTTCCTGAGTCAGATGTCAAATCAAGACTTCACTAGCGGTGAAGATTAATAGAATATGAAACGAGCTTATGATGTTTAAATAAGGAAGAAAATCAGCATTGAACTACAAATCTGCAAGCAACATTTCAATTTGAAAATGAGATATTGCTCAAATTGAGGTTATCTACAAGAAGACGGGAAAGAACCTTTTTTGGCAATGGTAAAAAGCTAAAAGTTACCTTGTGTAGAGCTTATGGGTGTGAGAGAAAGGCTGTAAATAATCAAAATAGACAACGGATCCATCATTACTAAGAGTAAATTCCTTTGTTAATTTACTGCACCCAAAAGTCCTTTATATACAGAAATAAAAATATAAAAAAACAGTTTAGATAAAAATAAAGGAAAAATAAATCTTAGGATATCCTAAACGTCTAACAAGCAGTGTTTACCTGAAAGCAGATTTTGAATATCAATTCTCACTCTCTCTGTCTCTACTTTACTATGTGATAGTTTGCAAATGTATAAAATTCAGAATAAATATATAAAATTTTGCTGAAATCCATGCATTTCGGTATTCATACAATGCTCAGATAGTTGTTATTTATGTGCGCACTATACATAGTAATGTTGTCTAGTTCATGGTTCCATCACCGCATCCACATACTTTAGTCCACTTTGCGTTTTACATTCCAAATCAGATGAGCAAATGCAAAGTGAAAAGAGAAAAAAGTGAAAAAGCTTCCAAGAATTAGAGCTAAGATTTGCTTAAGAAGCTTTAGCAACTATCACTTTTTCAGAAAGCAAATGGGAACTTTGTGATGTATGTACGATTAGCTGTTGGACTATTGCCTTATTACTAAGCTACCCTAGTAAAATAATATTTTGAAAGCAAAGGTTTACATTTATATAGCATTCCGATTACTAGTAAGTATAATGATACCCCGTGTAAGGCATTTCTATCTTTTCCTTATTAGAGAAAAAATATAAAGGATTTCTACTTTCCATAACTAAAGAAAAAAACTTTACAAAATCAGCTTTTATGATCGCTTAGATCGGCATTACTACTTGGAGTGCATTCATTGAGTTAAATCCAATTTTACATACTTATAAAATTCATAACTTCAGTATGTAAAATATTGTAATATCCCTCAAACATAGGTTTGCGAGAATTCTAACACCAAAAGTGAATCAAAAAGTTTTTATTAATAGGTCGAGAAATGCGAACGAACACAGTACCGGTCGAGAAGTGCCTTGTGAGGAAATGACAACATTGACTCAGCACTTTGTTAGCTCTCACTTTATGTATGATCCTGAATGTACTTCTACAATCGAACCCAATTTCCTTGTAGTTAATATTGTATACTTGTACTTCACAAAATGGTAAATGTCTGATCCCTCTTAAATCGGAAAACGCATTTATTCTATTAGGTTGGCACATAAGTAATGCAACTTTTTATTTAACTTTTATCTCTTTGAACGTAGCATATTCAATTTTTTGGCAACATAAGGACTATGATGTAAGCTTCTAATGCACACATTTTTGCCGAAGTTTACTGTATCCTGTAAGGATTACGGTAGGTTTACGATACTATGGGAAATCTTTAGAATGCATCAGATTTTACTGAAACTTGACCTATAGGGCTTTTCCGACATGCTGGTCACAAAAATAGGATCCGTTTCGCATGAAAAGGCCTCGTTCGTGAGATCAGAAAATGAAATTTCATTTCAGCGACAAATGAATATGATATTCGCGTTCATCGTATAGGATTACCCTATAGTGCAAAGTTATAGCGAATTCTGACTTTTCGCAGCTTGGTTATTGACAAATTGCCTTCAAAACTTGACGCATTTGACTTGCTCAACTTCTCAATGGCGCCCCACCTTAATTTGTGTTTAAATTTCATTTCTTTTTCACTGATTCCAGTGTGCCAACTTCCAGCTACATGCGCTCATAATTGCTTCTTCATATGTTTAAATCAGGTATCGCAGGGATTCATGTTTGCCAAAAAATCGTGAAACCTCAATTTTCAGCAGTTTTTTAAAAAATGCTCAGATTTTTTGTACTACGTTATCAAAAATCAAACGGTTTGCGCAGAATTGCAGCTTACATTACGGTCTACATGATGCCACAAAATGAGATTGCTACAGAAAACAAAAAAATTACGGGAAAAGTTGCAAAACTTATGTGCCAACCTAATATTTTGCTTGCCATTTGCGAAACATGACCATTTGGGTGTTTCTGCCAGAGCATGAGGAAGTAGAGACGAAGCGAAAAAATTGTTGGAATGTACAGCTGGCCGTCATTTGATGAATCATCGCGACTTCAATTTGTTTCGATTAGTTAGGCTTCTGGTTCTAATTCCTTTCTGTCTTTTCCATAACCAAAGAGTTTAGTCAGCTGAGTCGCTATAGGTTTTGCTACAATATGCTAAAATCAGCCTTCAACAGTATAGCTAGAGATTTCCCTCATTTGGTGGGTATAATTTTCCACCTTCTCTTGAGACTTGTAGTCTTTTCTCCGAAAGCGCTAGTTTTTTTTCTAATTCCATACTGCAGGAAATTTTGACATTTATCACCTTTTCTGAATTTTTTTGCTCCTTTTTCGCGAGCAAAGGATAGTATGAGAAGTTGCAGATAAACTAAGCTCTGTTATTCTTTTCTTAGGAGTCAAAAACTTTTACTGAAACTATTCTAAACGATGGCAAAAAAAACAAAGGCAGACTGACCAATGATTTTGAAAACTATTTGGATTCCATCCTCTTGTATTGACACCGTAGGTCTGCGAAGATCAGTCAAAATTGTTATTGCTAGTGCATTATTTTTCCATTTCTTGTTATTTTTGCAAAACTTTTTTTTGCCCAAGTATGGAAAAGAATAAAAAGCATATTTAACTACATTAATGTAGTGTTTTTTCCTTGAAGCTGTGTCAAACCCGCAATTCTAGAACATTCTTTGCAAGAGCTCCCTCTGCAAAGATATTGATGTTTGCCCCGTGCTGCAACGAGCTCCAGGGCCTTGCACTTTTTGTTCTCGTACTTTCTTCACATCAGCATTCGTTGGGCCATCCGTATGCCTCGTAAACAGTGCAAGAGCATTGAACATTTTCCGCTGAATGTAATTTATGGCGAAAGATCCTAGTGCAACCACGCCTCAGTATACTGTAGATTGACGGGCGGTAACGGCAGTTAGCGCTGCTTTCAGTTCCTCTCCCTCAACTCTAATGTGTAACATTTCCTTTTCTATAAATCGAATATTTTTCATTGCTGTGTTTTGCAAAATTCAGGAGCAGATTTTCACAACTTTCTATACTTCGTATCAGCTCTGCTCAATACTCGTGACATATTCTCTGTTCTGTTGCAACCATCAAAGTGGTAAGTATTTTTCAAAATAAACTCTCGTAATGAAAGGTTTTCGAAGACTTTTCCTCTCCTCTCGGAAATGGTTGCAAATTTCTGAGGTAGCCTATATGGGTTATAAAATAGTGCAATCGACTTTTGTTTACTTGTAGATAGTCTAAATATGTTTTGAAAACAAATAACACATTGACGATGACGTCTAAATTTGCGTGGCGGCGCTGTGGGACGACGCGAGTTTGCACAGGAGCCTAAATGTCTCAAGAGTGCAAGAAATTAGAAACAATATTAATTTGTAGAGGAAATACTGGACCTACAAATAATATGACTTTGCAAGGGGTGTGGGCCAATGGTGATCCACATCGTCCCTGGCACAAAAAGTGCGTGGGCCACCGGTGGTCCACATCGTCGTCATAGGTTGTTAGTATAATATCTTTGCAAGGATTTATTTCGCGACCCCTTTTCTATTATAATCATAGATTGACTAGTCCGCAACAAATTAGCACATCCCAAAAACCTTTTTTTGGCGTTGATAACGCCATGCCATCTCATTTGAAATTTGTTGCCTCCCGCGTCGAGCAAAAATTCTTGGGCCGCCACTGGTATAACATCAAGCAGATGTTCGTCTGAAATCGGTATATAATTTGCTCTATGATTAGCTTCAAAACTAATTTTTCGCGCAATTTTAGGAGATTTTTTGCAGTCAAACCTTCTGCAATCGAAATGATGTTCGTAAGGCGTGCTACAGAGTTCCTCTAGGAGTACTTTTGTTTGCGTCCTTTTTACATGTCAATATTTGTGGGGCCGTGCGTTCAAGTTCCTATGGTTATGGGAGCAGTGAGCGAATCTAGCTGAGAAATACTATAATTAGGGGCGTGGCTGCATTAGAACGAGTTATACCTGGTACCTCCACAAAAAGCGCCGTCAGTTTTCTTGTCATGAAATTTCAAGGAACGATTAGGTACCATTTTGTAGAGCTGGCTTCAACTTAGATTTACAGTATGGAGCAAATTATCGATCTCCCTTCATTACTGTAATATTACGTAGGAAATCCAGCATATGGCGCCACTGTGAGATAGACAGTTCGAAAATTTTTTTTAGAAAAACCTGAAAATTTTGTAACGAGATTTTCATGCATGCTGATTTCACTACATAACCTTTTGCGAGTGGGCACAGGTTTCTGAATGAGAACAAATTTTCGACGAATATCAGAAACCCGTCGTTACGTTATATTTGGCATAAATTTTGAAAAAACGTTACATTGAGATGCGAGTTCTACTAGGAATTAGCGACTCTGTTTAACCTAGCGTAAGACCTTTCATCTTCTTTAGTGCTTAACCTATTGTATTTACATCTTATTTAGTCCTTTTTAAGGGGTAAAATATGACGTGACAGTGCGCAAAACCCTTTTCACAGCTTCTACCGTAATCCTACAGTAATGCAGCGAAGACAGTAATTCCACCTTAAATCAGGTTAAAGCCAGCTCTACAAAATGTTACCTAAAGCTGCTCGAAACACTCATTGACAAGGGAGTTGTCTAGAATCAAACAGTAGGCACATTTTTGGAACACCTTGATTTTTGATTTTTACCTAGGTTTTTTCTTTCGCCATTGATCATCCATTCTATTGCAATAGTCAATCTCCTTCCACTGTCTAAATGTGAATATTTTTTATTTTCTTTGGATTTTGAACTTTTTTTGACTTTTTTGGTTGCTAAAACATCTTGCTTTGAAGGCAGACTTTTGCAGCGGTCTATAACTCGTATCAGCTCTGCTCAATACTCATTTCATTTCATTTTCATCTTATATATAAAGCTGAATGTCTGTTTGTATGTCTGTCTGTCTGTCTGCATGTATGTATGTATGTATCAGTGGCGTACCGAGGGGGGGGGCGCCCCCCCCCCCCCCGAGAACGGGTCGCGAAATTTTTGAAAGTTACTTACATGAGTTATAAAAATGTGCAAATGAGTTGTTTATTTTTGTAAACAATTAAAATAATTTTTAAAATTTTTTAAAAATTCAAATTAGCCTTATAAAAAAATTTTTTCGGGGGCGTGGCTGACGCCACGCCCCCTTTTTCCAAATTTTAGGGGTTGGGGGCCCGCAAAATTGTTGAGAAGCCCCCCTTAAATTTTTTCGGAGTGCGTGGCTAACGCCACGCACCTTCATTTGAAAATTTTTTTTGCCGCCCCCCCCCCGAGCCGAAATCCTGGGTACGCCACTGGTATGTATGTATGTGTGTACGTATGTTCCGAATAGAAAATTCCATTTCTGAACCGATCCGGACCAAACTTGGCACACATACACTTCGGGCCCCGGCGGGTGTCATAGGCTACTTTTCGTCATCGATCGATATCGATTTTATCGATTTTTATCGATTTTTTTGCTGAGTTCACCTACGGGGCTGGGAGTTGGCACAGGGGGGTAATCGAGCATGGGGATTCCGAATACAATATTGGTTTTCAGGATTATCGATTACTTTTATCGATTTTATCGATTTTTTTGCAAAGTTTGAGCTACGGGGCTGGGAGTTCGCCCAGGGGGGTAATCGAGCATGGGGATTCCGAATACAATATTGGTTTTCGGGATTATCGATTACTTTTATCGATTTTATCGAATTTTTTGCAAAGTTTGAGCTAGGGGCTGGGAGTTGGCACAGGGGGGTAATCGAGCATGCTGATCATCCCCAAGGGGGGGGGGGTGATCAGCATGCTCGATTACACCCCTGTGCCAAATTCCAGCCCCCTAGCTCAAACTTTCAAAAAATCGATAAAATCGATAAAAGTAATGGACGATCTTGAAAACTAATATTGTGTTCGTAATCAGCATGCTCGATTACCCCCCTGTGCAAAATCCCAGCCTCGCATGTCAAAATTTACAAAAAATCGATAAAATCAATAAAAGTAATCGATAATTCTGAAAACTAATATTTTATTCGGAATCCCCATGCTCACTCCCCCCCCCCTGTGCCAACTCCTAGCCCTGTAGGTGAACTCTGCAAAAAATCGATAAAAATCGGTAAAATCGACATCGATCGATAACGAAAAGTGGACTGTGACACCCGCCGGGGCCCGAAGTGTATGTGTGCCAAGTTTGGTCCGGATACGGCGGAGCCGGGTAAGCCAGCTAGTTTATTTCATAGGATCAACCTATGCCAACAACAACAACAACAACAACAAAAATTGTATAAATAACAAACCAAGAACACATGCACAACACAAAAGTGAGGATCAAAACTATAAAACCGCGGTAGTATCAACACTGCTAATGGACTGTAGATAGCTCTTTAGAACCGTCTTGAACTGAGATAGCTTTGGCGGAAACATACCTTTCCTAATTAGTCTATCCATGTCACAAACTGTACGACAAGTGAAAAAGTTTCTCCGTATACCTAACCTTGCCCTTGGAATGTCCAATTTCCTGTATTCTCCCCTAGTGATGGACACTCTAGTCGGAAAAAAGGTTTTGAAATCCAGACCACACTTACCATAAGCAATCTTATACGCCATAATAAGGTCGAATTTACGTCTTCTATAAGCAAGTGTGAAAAGCCCAAAGTTCTTATTGCGAATCGTCCCACTAGGTATTAGATCGTATTCAAAACCAATCTTACGTATCATAAGTTTCCTAGTGAAACTATTCTGAACTTTCTCAAGGTAGTTTTTGGTTTTGCGCATACTTGGGTTGTACACGGCTGTTCCATATTCCAACATAGGCCTAATAAATGACTTGTATGCTGCTATAAACATAGCCGTGTCGTCACTTGAAAATGCTCTGAATAAGTTATGTATCGTTGCAGTAGCTTTGTCTGCAATCACTTTGCAACGATCGCTAAAATTGAGATTGCTGGTCACTATGAACCCTAGGTCTCGTATTGTTACTTCTCGGAGAGGAACTTCATACAAGCTGTACTGAAAATTTGGGTTGCAGCCGCTAGGTTCAACATGGAACACTTCCGTTTTCTCCCTAGAGATAGGCAATGACCACCTCTGCGACCATTTATATACTTCATTGAGTGCATTCTGCACCAAGTTAAAGCCGGATTCATTCATAACAACAGTATACAATTTGAAGTCGTCAGCAAAAGCACTGCATGAGACTCCTGAGTCTACAGGAATATTGAGAAGTTCATATGTATAAATATTGAACAAAACGGGTGAAAGAACTCCACCTTGCGGAACGCCGCTACGCATCTTTCTGGGTCTAGAAAACGCAGAACTTACTCGAACAAGAAAAGTCCTGTCTCTAAGGAACGCTTCAATCCAAGCAGTAATGCGAGGATGTATGCCGACCATCCTTAACTTTAGCAATAACTTATCATGAGGTACCTTGTCAAATGCCTTGGAGAAATCAAGATAAATGACATCGGTATTGAGTCCATTGTTAAAATTTTGTGTCCAATCGTTCAAAGTTTGCAACATGGCCGTCGTGGTAGATTTTGACCTTTGGAAACCGTGTTGAAAAGGTGAAAGGATTTTGTTTTTCTCCAAATGGTTAACAATGTATTTCTTCAAGGTCTTTTCAAACAATCGAGCAAATAATGACGTTATACTGACCGGTTTATTTACTAGGAGAAGTCAACGGCTTTTTCTTAGGGATTGGTGTAACATAAAAAATGCGCCATTTATTTGGCACTTCTGCTCTCATGAGACTGAAGTTACATATGAACTGAAGAGGTCCGGCTATGACATGCGCAATTGATTTTATGAATTTCAATGGTAGGCCATCAGGAGTAAGGGATTTGGAGTTAGGCCAAGTGATCAGCAACTTGCAAATTGCATCGCTGCGGAACCAGGGTACCTCTTTCATTACAGGAAAGCACGACGCAGTCTGATTGTAACCTACAGAATCACTTTCTTGGTATGAGTTTTCAGAAACATCTGCAAATAGCTCTGCTATTTCATAATCGTCAGATACTACAGCCCCATCGTTCGATAAGATAGTACTGATTTTCTTTTTGTCTTTAAGTCTAGAACTGATTAGCTTGAAGAACAGAGACTTTCTGCCAGAGGCAACAGTATTTTTTTCTTCAGAAGCCTTGTATCTCCTAAGACGTTTTGTGAACATCAGATGATTGACTCTATCAAACTCTCTCCACTCTTCAAAGTTACCACTAGAGACTGCTTTACTCCAAACACACTCCCTTTTGTCATAAAGATTGCGAAGATAGCCTGGCAGGTGTTTTGTTCGTAAGGGAATCGAGACAATGGGGACGTATAACGAGATGGCATGATGAAGTACAATCAAAAATAATTCATACATTGTATCTATGTCATTGATAGAGTTGAAAGACCCATACCAATCAATAGTTGCTAAGTACTTGATCAAATTATCAAAGTCTGCATTCTTGTAATCTCTGCGCGAAATGTACCCTAGCTGAGCGGTAAAGGATTTGAGCGAGAATGTGATTGTTGCATGGTCACTAGTACCTAACGGAGCCCTTACCCGAACAGCATCAATTAAGTCATCATTGTTTGTCAAAACCAAGTCTAGGATATTGTGGCCTCGGGTATGGGTGTGTACTTTCTGGGATAACCCATATATATCACACATGGCTAAAAAGTTCTCGGTAGTAGCACAATGTCTTCCAGTTGCACGTTGTCCTAATTAATGCTAGGGAAATTGAAGTCTCCCATAAGAACCAAGGAATTACTGCAACCCAAAAGATCAGTGATAGCCTTGAGTAACTGTTCTGTTTTGTTGGCGCTGCAGGAGGGGTTTCTGTAGGCCAGAACAATTCGCGCTGGCTTATACGCGGCGATGTCAACGCAGAGTATTTCGTAGCCGTCCTGTTCGGATTCGCTAAAGACCAAGTGAGAATTCAAATTACTCCTAATAACGAGTACCACTCCCCCTCCTCTTCCGAACCCACGGTCGCACCTGTGGATGACATAATTTTCAAGACTACCGAAGAAGGAGCTATCATTGACTTTTCACGTAACTAGGTACCTACTTTCACCTAGGTTTTTTCTTTCGCCATTGATCATTCATTCTATTGCAATAGTCAATCTCCTTCCACTTTCTAATTGTGAATATTTTTTATTTTCTTTGGATTTTGAATTTTTTTGAGTTTTTTTGGTTGCTAAAACATCTTGCTTTAGAGGCAGACTTTCGCAGCCGTCTATACCTTGTATCAGCTCTGCTCAATACTCGTGACATACACCCTTCTTTGGCAACGACAACATTTCCCAGGAAGAAGCGGTAAGAGAAGTAGTTACGCTTTAATAACAAATTTGAGAGAGGACAAGTTCTCCTCTTCAAAATCAATTGTAACGACGAGACTTACAACTAAATTACGACTTGAGAAACCCAATTCAGTTGCATCAAATACTGCAGTAGTATCTTTGAATCTTCGGATTTCCTATTTCTTCGAATGCTAGTTCTATACACCGAAAATGTTCATAACGTAAAGCCTTTGAAGAACTTCCTCCAAAATTCAAATGATGAATGCAGACGTTTTTGTAAATTCAAGATCGAAGCGTTTTTTGTTGAATTACAAGAATCCAGCATGTACTATAACACGAAGTGATGGTGTACAGATGTGTTGAAGTACGTATATTTGCTTGAATGGTCTTTTGAAAAGCTTACCAAAATGACTATAAATTTGTTTGCCATCATCATGTCCTAAGGTTACGGTGGTCTTGTGGTCGTGTTTACCAACGAACCGAAAACTTATGTTTATTCCCTGTTATTTATTGGTCTCTCAAGAAAAGGACAGAATTTTTGAAAAACCTGGTTCATGTATTTTTGATAGGAAAAACAATTCTAAAGGGTCATTGAAGTGTTGTTTATACAATTTTATACTCAATCAAAGTGTTTATGATCCCGTAAGTAATTAACCCATCTTTATCATAAATGACCTTGATAGTAAAGAGCATTCGTGCAGTTGTAAGCACATCAACCGAACAGACAAAGCCTCTTTTTAGCTTCTCATTATTTTTGCACTTATCAAAATGACAACTCTAGGGGGGGGGGGGGCGGGAATTTATCTACCCGGAGAGGCATGTAATTAGCAGGGGACATGAGAGGACATGAACTGTCAGCAACGCTAATTTGCACCCAATTTGCACCGAAGGCAAGCAGATTTTGCTCACGACAGAACCGACATCATCTTACAGTGTACGAAATCGGGATTTCATTGAAACTTGCAAAGTTCAGTAGTGAAATTAGTCCAACTAGGGTAAAAATTTGTATTTAGGGGTAATCTGCCATGCTGGTTCCAAATATGATGGTGGTTTTGCGTGAAATTGAATCGAGCTTCGTGATGGGATTAAAATTAATGTTCACTGGCGACATCTGGCAAATCAGAATAAAAGCGTGAATTCGGGGGTTTCTAAAGGTGCTCTTTACGAATATGATAACGGTTTAGTACAAAATCCTCGAATCTTTTTTCCAAATTAAGTTCTGGAAGCACCGAATGCAGAATTTCAGCAATCTTGTCTGAATTTTTGTGTTCTTTGTCAATAACTTTTCGTAAGTGTTGATAATGCATTAAAGCCATGCCTATCATTGCTGATAAAAGCAAATGTTTTAACATTTTTCAAGAATTAAATGATAATTTAGTAGCTGCTCTTCAAGGAAACCAGTTGTAGTGTCCAGACTAATTTAATAACGACAGATTTTAATGATAGCTGGGAATCTTTTCCAATCCTTCAAACCTAGTTTCAATGAATTCAACTTCATTGAATTTTTTTTACCTTATTTTAAATTTTATTTCGCAATTTATATCATTTTTTCTAGTCTTTCTGAAAGTAGCATTCTTTTTCATTTGTTTTCCAGTTTTATCGTAGTTGCAGTGAAATTTATGAAAAAGTCAAAATTTCAAAAGAAGAAGTTTTCGAAGTTTCCGACGAAAACATTAGCATATTCGAGAACAGCATCATAGAAAACCCTCAAATGACAATTTTAAGCTTTTTGTCAGGTCTTGAAAACAAGATTAAAGTTCAAAAAAAATTTGAGTTTTCAGTAAAACCACCATCATATTTGGAATTACCATGGCATGGCAGATTACCTAAATACAAATTTTTACCCTAGTTGGACTAATTTCACTACTGAACTTTAAATTCAAATTTCAATGAAATCCCGATTTTGTACACTGTAGGATAATGTCGGATCTGTCGTGAGCAAAATCTGCTTGTCTTCGGTGCAAATTGGGTGCAAATTAGCGTTGTTGACAGTTCATGTCTTCTCATGTCCCCTGCTAATTACATGCCTCTCCGGGTAGATAAATTCCCGCACCCCCCCCCCCTAGAGTTGTCATTTTGATAAGTGCAAAAATAAAAGTTCCCTGCTAATTACATGGCGGAATACCTCCCTGGGTAGATAAATTCCGTTCCCCCTCTAAAGAATAACCACGAAAAAACGGTTTTTTTCTATTTTCACCTCTTAGGGTAGTACTGCAAGCTGTGACAATTGGCAGTAGTGTACAGAAGATTGATAAAGAGATTGTTCCTTTGTGTTTATCTGTTTCGCTTTGGATTTGCGCTCATAGTGACTTGTGCCCCTTTCGGAACAAGCATGCCTATCGAGAGTGAAGTCCTGGGAGCCGACAATCTCATCAGATATCCAGTGATATCAACTCGATTTGCGAGTCGTAAACGCCATCGTTCGGGTTCTACTGACTCCATCGGCACACACACAACGCAGGATTCATCTGCCTTGGCATGTGTAGTGAATGTATTCAAACTTTACTAGGTTTTTTAGTTATCTTTTACCAAAACTATTCCAGGGTGGAATGATCGAATCCAATGAAATTAACAACTGCCATTCGATGCTTGCATATGACGCGTGTGATAGTTATCTCTGGTCTTCCCGCTCCGACGATGTTCCTCTCAATTCGCAAACTACCGCATTCATCCCGAAAGGTTTTACTGTACACGAACCCGTTCAAGGACCAGAAGAAACTCGCACTGGAAATCTTCCACCAGTACCTGCTTCAATTGCTAGACGTGTAACCAGACCTCTCAATAACGGCAGAAATTATCGGTGCAGTTTGTGCGGCGATCCTCACTACACTCACCTGTGCCGTAAGCCACTCCCATTCTCTTACAGAGCCGCTATACTGCTTGTGAAACGTCGGCTTTGTCCAAAATGTGTTCGACAACATCATCTTTCAGCTTGCAAGAATACCGCACCATGCGAGTACTGCGGCCGTAGTGACCATGCGACTGTGCTGTGCCAATATCCGCTTATGTAGGGAAAGCGCAAAATCCATCATAGTTGGACTAATATCTCTCAACATTTTCCCTCATATCTCTAACATTTTGAAAGCCGGCTGCCTTAGAGGAAGTATCGTCTGTTCGTTGACCGCAGGACTGCTCGAAACCTGCGAACCACGTGCGCGCGGCTGAATTGCCGCGAGAGCACGACTTGTACAATAGCGAATTTGTACTGGGGCAAGGGTTATACCTCTCGGCGCGTGCTCTGCTTGTTGTCCAGTCCGTGTGGTCAACGAAACAAATATAAATAGCTTTTTGGATAATTTGGTCGAAGCAGCTCCGCTGTATCTGAAAATCCAAACGGCTTCTAGGGAACCTAATGATCGAACTCTACTGAAATTTTACAAATTTTTATCTGTTACAGCGTAATAATAGTTATCTCAAAGAAATCGGAGGAGGGGAAAGGGGTTGGCACAATTTTTTTGGAACACTTCGTTACATTCCGAGATTTGTCGCGGCTTGTTCCTGGAATTTTGAGGATTTATTCGCAGCAGTGGCAACTCTAAAACTCATAGCAAAGCCAATCCAAGAGTTTATAAGATAAATGAAATTTAGTCCAATAAAATGTAGGTTAGTACTTCTTTGTAGCCCCAAAAAACCATTTCTTGTGCGGATCAGTAGTGCGCACCCGCGCACATTTTGCCGGTCCGCCGTTGCGATACTTTTCTACGCTCACCCTTTGAATCGAACTTACTGTGGCAGCATAAATTTTCGTAGCATTATTGGAGATATGAGGAATGTCGTCAAAACGGCTTTTTGCACATGCTACCATTCATATGTATTTTATATGCTTACATAAATTCCAATTGGTTGTCCTTTTCAACATGCTTGAAAGACATAAGAGGTCATGGTTTACTGCGAAGATGTTGTGGCGTCTTGTTCATTGTTGCTTGCAATAATACACCTTTATTTTGCATGTTTATAATCTTGTGTTCTGCTTCATAATAAAGATTGTAGTGGCTGAAAAATCATCTCACAGGGGTTGTGTAATAAGCTCAACAAGAATACAAGTAGAATTTGGAAGCTCTTCTATTCCAAGTGATCTTTCTCAAACAATTATGTCTTGTTGCAAGACATCGACAACATGTTACAATTCTAGGATGTTCTCTTGATTTATTGTTCTAGGATGCTTTCTATCCCAAATGTCAGATGAAGAACTTCTTCATTCACTTAATGTGTTTGAGTTAAAACATTTGCAGTCTATGATAGTAGTCTTTGGAGTCGTTTGAAAACCCTTTCTACTGAGCAATCGGAAGAGTTGAAGGCTCAAAACATCTCGAAAATAAGTTTTGAATTTGTTGTAAAAAAGTGTTTAGGCGGCTGAGACCCTATCATTTCCTAATGCGCACAGTTTTGTTATACAGTGTACTTCAAGAAAGAGCAAGCATTTTGTTTGGAGACCATTTTCAAATTGTGCGAGTCTAGGTTGCAGATTTGTAAGACTTAACGAGGGCAAAAAAAACTGGTTGGCGATGATTGTTAGGGACAAAAATGATGGCACTATTATGTTGTTGTAGGGAAACTGACGGAGTCAATCTCGACATTGATGGATTTCAGTACAGTACTTTTGAATATGTTCGTTCACTTCAAAGATGGACCTTCCATATTTCCATTTTTCAGCGGCTCCGATTTTTGAAATAAGTTGAGTGTATCGCATGAATAAATGACTATGCTGAACATTTGAATGAACACTTTCCACTTATCTGATAGGTCGTTCCGAAATTAATGTCGCTTTTTTCAAATGTATGCCACATCTCGTGGAACAAAGTTGTATAAGAGATTCTGATAGCATTTGATGCAGCATTTCATTCTCTTTCTAATGGTAATGAAGTTGTTGCAATACAGTCAATGAGCTTCCAGAAAAGGGTCAAAGTCTGCTACCTATGCTTTTTGAGATGGCCATTTTCACAATATTTCTAAAATTTTATAACAAAGCTCAGAAGGAGTCCAAGTAATAGATGGATGGCGCAAACCCTACAGGAAACAGCACAACTTTTTTCTACTTTCCAAAGCTCGTCATAATTCTTGTACAGATTTTTTGATGGTTCCACCGAATTTTAGCAAGCTCGTCTCAGACGCAAGTGTATCAAACGCCAACAAGTCTCCGGATTTTGAAACTTACAGAGATGGATTATGGTTTGGCAACAATTGTACAAACCAAACGAGCATTCACGGCTTCGGTTTAGCAACTTTCGAAAAATTCGGGCACACCTTGGGGTGCCTTGGAAAAGTTGAATTATGATGATTTTATCCCGGAAAACTTCATGAATCGGAAACAAAAAACGACCTACAAAGAGGAGAAAAAGCTGCATCGAATGACACGAGTCGATTGCCGGTTGATGTCCTGTGAGGTTTGACTTGACTAAATATGGAATTTGATGGCATTGAGAAATTGATTGTAGAAACTCTGAGAAGCAAGCTAAGGAAAAGAAAAAATCACTCTGTGTTCTATAATGTTTGCTCTATCTACCTGCCATTTGTACTTTTCGGAGATTAGGTACAAAAATTCAGAAAAATAGCCGAACTTGATCATGGCAAAAAGCATGAGTCGCAGACTTTGGTAATTTTTCGAGAGCTCACTAAACATTATGCAGTGAATTAAAACCATTAGAAGGAGGATGAAATGATGCATCGAATGCTCCTAAGATCTCTTGAAAATGTTGATTCTCCGAATAGTGGCGTTCATTCGAAAAAAGCGACATTACTTTCGAAACCACCTAATATAATGGTACTTTAGAACGAATAAAATGGAAAGCCAGTACGTGATAATATTAGGTTGTTGCAAAAATAATGTCCGTTTTTAGGCCTATATTCCAAACAACTCTTTTCTATCAAACTTTCTTTTTCGATTTAGAATTTTCATATCATTGGAAAGCTCTTTTCATGTACTTTCTAACAGTGGTGGAGTTAGGCTGCTATCCTCATCTGTGAGAATTTCACCAACATTTTGCGCATCCGCACTCAAAATCGGAATCTCATAGCTTTCACTTTCTTGACCACAATTCAAAAGAAAATAAACGAATTCTTCTGAAAACATAGCACTTATATTGGATGAAGACTGTCTACCTAATGCGTGCTTACTTAGATTTTTGGAGATATCTGGACTGAAAAATAGACAAATATATACTCGCTGCTGGCATTTTATGAGTCAGAAATTTTTCATAATTAAGGCAATTGCCAAAGCTTCACCCATTTCTGTAAGCTTGAGAATCACACCTTAACTACATTATTTGAAGGGAAACTTAGCTATTCAGTGCGCGAAAAATTCCAAATTCTTTTAATCTGGCGCTTACAAGCCTAGAACAAGTAGGCTCAAAAAAGTAAATTTTTTCGAATATTCACCTTTTCTTTTCGCGGAACTCCTTCGTTGGAGTCTTTTCTATACACACGTAAACTCATGGCCTGCGGCTACAAAATAAGCTGATTGCCAGTCATACGAACAAAACTTGGAGGAGTTGCAAGCTCCTAAAGACACCGTCCACCCTAAGTTGAGGGTGTTGAGCTTTTGGCATCGTTTAATAGTAGGGACCCCTATCAATTGAATGCCCAAGTCGCAACGCAAAATGCCGCTTCGGAAGCGAGAAAATCGCTTCGGAAGAGCGAAGATGCGCCAGGACCCCCATCCATGCCCGCCCTCCCCCATCCTTGCCCGCCCATTTGTGCGCGCCCGTCCAATCACCGTTCCAGAAAGCCGGCTTGTGGTTCTCTGGAACGGGGATTGTTGGGATTTTCGCGCATTCTCGACTTCATATTCGGAATCAGGGATATGAGAAGGCCCGAAACGACAAAAACGTAGAAGTCGAAAATCTGCGTGGACGGTGCCTCTAAAAACGAGATTTTTAAAAGAAAATTTTTTAGTTTTCTGACGCGTGGTTTTCTTCCCGTCTGCGATATCAGTATGAGCAGATGCGCCCAAATTAAGAAAGGTTTGCTGTTTCAGATGGTCAAAACCGCATTCAAGAATATTAACATTGAACGAATTTATAGTCCTTTAAAAGAAAAATTTGCAAAACGGACTTCATTTTTGCAACAACCTAATAAATTTGCGATGCGAAAACATAAAAAGATATGGTGGAATTTTTTGACGAGAATTCTTATTTATGAGCGTAGTTAAAGTACTCCATCAAGCTGCCAAACTTTTTTCGTTTTTTTTTTGTCGATAACGGATATTATGCGAATGCGGAATGCAGATATTGAAAAACATATAAAAGTTTGCTCGAAGTTGCATTTTGTCAAAAGAAGAAAGGTTTGATAATTTTTGCAGAAACGTTATGTGAGATTTGTCGGGACGCAGCTAAGCTCCGCCTGCTGCTCTCCCGTGAGCTGGCCGAGAAGGTCAGATAAGAGCCAGTGACCCCCTACGACCGCGCACCGTAAGGCTGCTTAGTCAGTCCTCCCCCTTCCCCTTTCTTGTAATATATGTAGATAATAAATATATATAATACCAACCCGTACCGCTACACATCAAGCTAGGGCCCGTACACCCCTAGACTTGACATGGAGGTCCTAGGGAAGATTTCTTTTTTTTTAAGAATTCTAGGATTTTTTTCTCACCTTCACTTTTGATATGGGTTTCAAAAAAAAAAATTTATCCCCTCCCCCTCCCTCCCCCTCTACATTTCGATCGATCGCTATGGATGTCACCAACGAACAATTGTGTGTGAGTGTTTTTTTATGTTGCACAAATATATTAGCTGTGTGAGTGAAATATCTAATCTCTGTGTGAGTCAAATATTTAATCTTTTCAGAAAGAAAAAAAATTATTAAATAAAATAAAATAAAAATTATTTATACAGTCCTGCGAACAGTCCCATTTTGTCAATTTCTTTCTTTCGTAAAGCGCTCGCATTTTCCGTGATCCGTGATTCCGTGAATCCGTGAATCCGTGAATTTAAAAAGCGCATTTAGCAGCCGTGATCCGTGATGCCGTGATCCGTGATCCGTGAATCCGTGATCCGTGATCCGTGAATCCGTGAAA